GAATAGTATACATGAACATCTAGAATAAGGGCCACTGGAATAGTATACAGGAACATCTGAAATAATTTACTGTACAGGGACATCTGGAATAATACACAGCAACATCTGGAATAATATACAGGAACACCTGTGCCGAATAAGGACTGGAGGTCCCACAGTCAAAGTGGGAATCTCCACCAAGCGTGGTGGAGAACGGCAGGGCTTAGATACTGTGAGATTTCCAGATCCAGGCTGTCTGACCCAGAGGTCTGCAACCTGCAGCTCTGGGGCCACATGCAGTTCTTTGGTCCCTCTGCAGGAGCTCTTTGAAGCTTTGACCAAAATTAGCATGATTAAACCTTATTTAAGTCAAATTATTTGTTTTGATATAACAGTTTATTTAATCATATTTAGAAATTCAGCATGCTGGTTTATTTTTTTCTTTTTAACTTTATGCTTTATTACCAGTGGGATACAGTACTTGATTTTTATTTTTTTTTTCACAAATAAAAAGAGGACTTACATACACCTGCATAGTTAATTGTTTATATACTGTATATTTTACTTGGCATACATTATATATTTTTTATTTATTTACAAGGATATGGTCTTTTATTTTGTCCTAAAATGTAAAAATGTGAATAAATGTTAAAACTCATCATGTATTTTCAACTTTACAGTGTCACACTTACTGTCCCCCCAACAAACTCAAAATGGCCCATGGGCCACCAGTTGATAACCTTTATATCTTTGACACATTTTATTGAATAAGCAGAAAGGGTTCTTTTGATAGAAATGGTTTCAGACCCCTGGTCCAACCGAACATTGTAGTGGTTGACAAACAAAAGAAGACGGTGGTGGTGATAGATGTAGCAATCCGAAGCAACTGTAACAGCAGAAAGAAGAAGCAGCTGGAGAAATACCAAGAGCTGAAAGAGTAAATAGAGACATTGTGGAAAGTCAAGACCTCAGTAGTCTCAGTGATCACTGGAGCACTCGGTGTTGTGACCCCCAAACTAGAAGAGTGGCTCCAACAGATTCCAGAAATAATCTCAGAGATCTTTAAGAGCACAGTCCTCGGACAGCTCAAGGTTCAAGGATGATTTTTTTTTTGGTCATCATTTTGTAGTAGTCAGATTGAGGACAACAGAACAACAAGATTCATGAAGGAGGATCTTTGAAACCAGATAAAACCAGAGGAAAGGACAAACCAGCTCAGATTGATAAACATAGTCAGATTGATGTCGGGGCGTCATTTGCGCCTCTGTTCATCAATTTGATGTCTGAGAATTAGTCCCACATTCTGCTCATCACGTCAGGTTGATCCTGTTGTGTTAGCTCAACCCTTTTCTCCTCTTGTCTGGCCAGTGTTTAATGCTCTGATTCCCCCTGCACTTGTCTTGATGAGCTGATGTTTTTGGGTTAGTTTACCCCTTTGCTTGACTTGTCAGCTTGATGTTGATCTGACTGGAAAGTTGTGGGATCACCAGTGTTTTGCAGCCATAAGCAGAGATCGTTTCACCCTCTGTCCTGGGTTGAACATATCTCTGAACTCTGTCTCGAGATGAACTCCAGGGATTGTAAAGATGGAAACAGCTGAGAGACAGAAAATGATTAGTTGACCTTTTAGTATTTATTTATTTATTTAACAAATTTAAACAACACGACGGAGTATTAGGGTCACGCTAAGAAAAAACAATTACATTACGAACGAGAATAAAGTTGAAATAATACGAGAATAAAGTTAAAATAAGATGAGAATAAAGTCATAGTATTATGAGAATAAAGTTGTAGTATTACAATAATAAAATCACAATATTACAAGAATAAAGTCAAAATAATACGAGAATAAAGTCGAAATAATATGCGAATAAAGTTGAAATAATTTGAGAATAAAGTCAAACTAATACGAATAATACAAAAATAAAGTTGTGGTATTAAGAGAATAAAGTCAAAATATTACTAGAATAAAGTCGTAGTATTATGAGAATAAAGTTGCAGTATTACAAGAATAAAATCGTAATATTACGAAAATAAAGTCATAATATTACCAGAATAAAGTTGTAGTATTACGAGAACAAACTCATAATATTACCAGAATACAGTCGTAATATTATTAGAACTCCGCCATGACTGCAGTAAAATGATGAATATTGACGTCAGCAGTACAATAGCGGGGGCCCAAAGCACAGTAGCATATGGATTCTTATGATAAGCTGAAGCCGTATGGCATTGTAATTAATGGCTGCATTGACGGATTTACTTGTGACATAATATGGACAAGGCAAATTTCATAAACATTGACCCAAAAGTGATCGTGGACTACTTAATGAACACGGTGACTCATATTGGAGGCTGTCCACAGCAGGTGAAAGCCCACCCAGGATGTATTATGACTATTCTCATAATATTATGACTTTATTCTCATAATATTGTGACTTTTTTCTCTTAATATTGTGACTTTATTCTCGTAATATTGTGACTTTATTATCTTAATATTGTGACTTTATTCTCTTAATATTGTGAGTTTATTCTCTTAATATTGTGACTTTATTCTAGTAATATTGTGACTTTATTCTCTTAATATTGTGACTTTATGCTCTTAATAGTCTGACTTTATTCTCATAATATTGTGACTTTATTCTCTTAATATTGTGACTTTATGCTCTTAATAGTCTGACTTTATTCTCATAATATTGTGACTTTATTCTCTTAATATTGTGACTTTATTCTCTTAATATTGTGACTTTATTATCTTAATATTATGACTTTATTCTTGTAATATTGTGACTTTATTCTCATAATTTTGTGACTTTATTCTCTTAATATTGTGACTTTATTCTCTTAATATTATGACTTTATTCTCTTAATATTATGACTTCATTCTCATAATATTATGACTTTATTCTCCTAAGACTTTATTCTCAAAATTTTACGACTTTATTTTCGTAATATATATATTTTTTCTTAGCGTGGCCCCAATACTCTGTTGTAAGACAAGATCGTGAGTATAGTCATGTAAATATTTTTGAGCTCTCAGGTTGTGACACAGCTAAAAATTGAAACCTGGAACAATCTCTATGGTTTTCTGTGTTTTGCTGCTGACAAGAAGCCTTAAAAATAATAAAATTATGATTAATAACTAAAACAAACCCATTACTACCTAAACTATTAATAGCTAATCTCATGTTCACAGCACATTTTCTTACACATGAACATGTACATATAACATACCGAATACGCAAGGAGCCTGCAGTGTCACACATATATTTGATGCTGCCTCTGCAGGCTCCATAACATGGACAAGTAAAGCCACTTTGATCAAAACATAATCGTGATAAACATAAGACAGCATGTAGAACCATGTAGAACAGATCAAGAAGTTTCAAACTATGTATCATTATGATCTGCTGGAGTTTCAGAAATAAAATGCAATGCTAAAAAAGAACAGGTCACGTTAAGCTGTGAACAGGTATGTTGCATGTCAGCATGTCTGCACAATCTTACTGTCTCTAAGGTGCATGATGGAGATAGGAAGTGTGCTGAAATATGGGTGCTGTAGAGCTTCCTGAGCCGAGAGCCGCTCTGAGGGAACCATCACAAGAATCTTCTGAACCAGGTCTTCAGTTTTGGAAGGCAGCTGTTCCAATCTGATCCAGATGAAGACAGAGAGTAAATAAACTGTTTCAAACTTTGTCTAAAGACTTATTACTTGTCCCGATAGACAATTATGCTGCTATAGGCGTAGACTGCTGGAGGACAAACTGACCACATATCCTCACTCTGCTGCCCTCTTTACTTGTATTGAACTGATTGTAATTATTGATTGACAAAAACCAAAAACCAGGAGCAATTAAAATAAAAGTGACTGAGACAAGAGGTGATGATCTGACAAAGCACAAAAACAAACAAGCTTGAGGGTTGATTAGCAAGTGAATGCAACTGGAATCAGTGGTTGCCAGGAGTGTGGCAGGGGATACAGGGGAGCAGAGGAGAACTAAGGCCAATTAATAAACATAAAAAAAACTGCAAGGCTTAACATGTAAAAGAAATACAAATGACTAAAAAACAACTGCTGGCAGAAAACAACTGGATCATTGACTGATACATAAACTGAAAAACAGGGATTTGCAGAACATTAAAAAGAAAACAAATCAAAACACCTAAACTGTGACACATGCAGAAGAAAGACCTGCTAGCATGTTAGCATATGTGTTGATTTAATAAATAATGAGCACCTACTAGCATTTATAAACCAAACACATAACATACCAAGTCCATATGCTACATAGACACGTTGCAGTTGTGGTTAGCTTACCTTTTCCACACAGTTCTAAACAGCTTTGGCCTCCAGTGTTGAAACTGTTCTACAGAATCCCAAAGAACAGAAAAAAATTATATATATATATATATATAATATATATAAATATATATAAATATATATATATATAATATGATATATATATATATATATATATATATTATATATATACCTGAAAATGAATAAAACCAAAATATAAACTCAAATAAATAAATACAAAAAAAAAACAGGCTATGACAAAAGCAGGTATGAACAGGTGCTCCCACCTGGCCTGTAATAAGGCAGCAGGCTGACTCCATGCCAGCTGTCCTCAGAGGGGACACCCAGGACCTGCAGGAGGTCAGACATGTTCCTGTCAGTAAAATATTACTTATTTACAACACTTTACAACAATAAAAATGTTAAACACAGCAGAGCAATGATGCTGAAAGAATGGCACCCATCCTATTGTAGATGGATCACACTGAGCTACAGAAATACAGTGACTGGGTCTACTGGACTTCATTGGAGTGTCCATAGCTGAATTTATGTGGACTGTGTTTAGATGGATTCAAACCATTTGTACCTGGATTGAACTAGGCAGTCAGTAACTGTCTATAACTGGACTAAACTATGTGTAAACTGATTGAACTGGACCATTTGTAATTGGATTAAATTGGACAGTGTGTAATTGTAATGAACTGCTCTGGCTGTAACTAGATCAAACTGGACTGTCTGCAAATGGGTTGAACTACAACGTGTGTAACTGAAATGAACTGGATTGTAAGTGACCAGTTTAAACTGTATGTAACTGGACTGATCTGGACCTTCTGTAACTGGACTGATCTGGACCTTCTGTAACTGGACTGATCTGGACCTTCTGTAATTGGACTGAACTGGACCTTCTGTAACTGGACTGATCTGGACCTTCTGTAACTGGACTGATCTGGACCTTCTGTAACTGGACTGATCTGGACCTTCTGTAACTGGACTGATCTGGACCTTCTGTAACTGGACTGATCTGGACCTTCTGTAATTAGACTGATCTGGACCTTCTGTAACTGGACTGATCTGGACCTTCTGTAATTAGACTGATCTGGACCTTCTGTAATTAGACTGATCTGGACCTTCTGTAACTGGACTGATCTGGACCTTCTGTAATTGGACTGAACTGGACCTTCTGTAACTGGACTGATCTGGACCTTCTGTAAATGGACTGAACTGGAATGGCTGTAAATGGATTGAACCACAATGTGTGTAACAGAATTTAATTGCACTTTCAGTTACTGAATTGAACTGCACGTAACCACCTGTGACTAGAATGAAATTTATAGTTTGTAACTATAGTAAATTGTACAGTACAATAAACAATAGGCCATAACTGTATGGCGTGTAGAGATGCTGCCTCTCAGCAAGCAGGCCACCAGTTCAAATCCCGGTTGGAAACCTTCTTGGGTGGAGTTTGCATGTTTTCTCCGTGCTGCGTGAGTATTCTCCAGTTTCCTCCCACAGACCAAAAACATGCATGTTAGGCTGAATGGTAACTCTAAATTGTCCCTAGGTGTGCGTGAGAGAGTGAATGGTTGTTTGTCTCGTTTGTCTCTATGTGTTTCTGTGATGGATTGGAGACCTGTCCAGGTGTCCCCCGTCTCTCGTACAGTGACTACTGGACATACACCAGTTACCCCCTGCAACCCGAAAAGGAAGAAGCGGTAAAGATAATGGATGGATGGTAAATGGTAAATGAACTGTACTTATATAGGACTTTTCTAACTAACCATTATACTAAAAAGAGCTTTACAACACAATCTGTGCCCTCATTTATCATCCAAACACATTCATACAGAATTCTACTACATCTCTACAAAGCTAATTTGAGAAAAAACATTTTATAGAGAGTAATCAGTGCTTTAGTTCACAATTAAACATCGATGATGGGATACACATCGGTGGCGATGACGGGTTTAGTACCCTTCCGACTACTCTAACAACTCAACCACAGCCACCCACTGTGCCCATTGTCTAACTAGACTGAACTCCGTATAACTGGACTGACTTGGACCCATTTACTTTTGTCTGTAAGGTTCTTAGGTGACAGTGTTGGTGCTCTAAAAACAATGTAATATTAAACACCACACACACAGTGAGCTGAACTGACCATCCAGATGTTCTGCAGTTGCTCCAGCTCATCAGAACCTTCTGTAAATGCTGGCGACCCCTGCAGCATCTCGACAAAGATACAGCCCGCTGCCCTGATTCAAACACAGCAAACTTAATTGATCGTCACAGATGCAAGGCATCAGTGTTTCGGATAAAGTCAGACAGCAGCACTGACCACACGTCCAGAGCTGTAGTGTAATCTGTAGATCCCAGCAGGAGATCGGGCGCTCGGTACCCCAGCGTCACCACTTCAGAAGAGAATGTCTGACTAGGGACGGACTTGGACCGAGCCAGACCTGAACTCAAAATCAGAGAATACAAAACTGTTCATGTTTGTTACTTGGTGTAAATGCAGGCAGCTCTCTGAGCTGCTGTGAGCCACCTGCAGCTGGATCTCCTCACCAAAGTCCGACAGTTTCAGTTCTCCTTGATAGGTGATGAGCAGGTTGTGAGGTTTCAGGTCTCGATGCAGGATCCTGCGACTGTGGATGTAGTTGAGCGCTCGCAGCAACTGGAACATGAAGATCTGTAACAAAACACAGCATTGTCAGTCCAGACCTCGGATTGAGCTGGGTCTGCTGTGTCCACGTACCCGCACGTTGTGAGAGTGCAGACCTCCAGGGTGCTGGATCATGTACTGGGCCAGATCTGTCTGCTACAAAAACAACATGAACAGTGACAACCATCATACACTGCCCCTGCAGCTACTATACAACATGTCCCACTATTTGTCCTGTTTGTCCCAGCTGCCGAATAGAAATCCAGTTGCTGGGTTTTTATTTAATTTAATATATTTATTTTATATTAGACCCAAATTATTCCATTTCAATCATAATTTACTATTGGCACAAAATACAAAACTACATCAGAACCTGCATCTGGGAAATAGCATGTACGGAAGAGGATTAGGACCACGGTGCAAAATTATTATTATTTTTTCCTTAATTCTGAGGGGGAAAAAAGTCAGAATTCTGAGATTAAAGTCAGAATTCTGACTTAATCTCAGAATTAAAACAAAACAAAAAAAATTAGACCGTGGCCCTGATCCTCTTTCGTAAGTATGCCATGACGTTTAGTAGCAGAACATCATATAACATATAAAATTTACAGAGAGATGAAAACTGGTTTCTGTACAGCGTCTCCTTCAGGTCAGACTGTAAATAATTGAAGACTTGCTCACCACATATTGGAAGACAAATGTAAGCGTCTCACTGGTGTGGATGATGTCATGCAGGAGAACAATGTTGGCGTGTTTCAGGCGTTTGAGCAGAGAAACTACAAACACACAGGTATGAATGCAGATGCTGATGCAGACTTAGCTCAGTGACAGGATGATTTGATTGGTCACCTTCTCTGATGGCGGTGAATGGGATTCCTTCGTCAGTTCTCATACGAATCACCTTCAGAGCCACCAGCTGCCCATTTATCCTCCACAGAAGTAGAAACACCACAGTTAATGTCCAATGATAAAACCAATCCCTCATTATCATCAGTTATAAACTAATTTATTCTCCACAAAGGAAGAGACAGGATCTACAGACGCTGCTACTGTGGATTATGGTTCTTTTTACAATCAGAATATTAGCAGATGATTCTCTGACCTGCTGACACCTTTGTAGACAGAGGCGAATGCTCCTTCTCCCAGCTTCTCCAGACTCAGGTACGACTGAGCAGCTCCAAACTCCAGACCCGCTTTCTGAGACCAACACAGAGTAGAAGCATGAATTGTGGAGCGAGGCCAAGTAATCATTACCAAACATGGCATGTGACTCATCAGCTGACCCGGGTGAACAGCTCCTGCACGCTCGTTGTTCTCAGGTGGTCGCTGTTGCTGCGTCCTCGTGGGAATCGTCTAACCTGCAGAGTGTGGAACCAGTGAGGCTGAGGCCCAGAGACAGATGAGTGGGACTGGTCCAGATCTGCCTAGAACACACAGAGACTGAGACATTTTAAAAATCTCAAGGCATATTCAATAACTCAAAAGCCTTCCTACACTGTAAAAACACGAGATTTTATTCAATTCAGTTTATTTATACAGCACCAACTGATGACAAAAGTCCTCTCAGGGCACAAAACATTCAAATACATTAAATATTTTCAACACTTGCTCTTGTCAAGGGCGGACGCATTTCACCTCCTCTCCCTCTCCGCTTTGCTTTGCTCTGTCCTGTCTGCGAATCTGCTTCAGAGCCTCTCTTCTACAAATCTTCCGAATCATAATTCAGCTATGGATTTGGTCAGTTGGTCCCTCAACACAATTGATAACATTTCTTCGAAGAGAAGACAGGCTTTAGGCGAGCCGATTTGCCCCGTTGGCACGCACGCAGCTGGACATCTCATCGACTTGGAAGACTTGATCTGCTGTCAATCATGGATGTTAAGGACGCATATATAATTGGATTTATAATAACTGCTTTCCTGCTTTTTGGATTTGGATGGTTCCTGGTTTCCTGCTTTTTGGATTTGGATGGTTCCTGGTTTATCAACATTAAAGGAACTCTTAGGCAACAAATTTGGCCCTGGTTAAGCAGCTTGCCTTGTGATGGCTTGGTCCGTGCCTTGAGCACCCAGACTCAAATATTTTTGGCAGGATGGATCAGATCTCAGGGACTACTCTCAGGAACGGTCCAATTGTGTGGTCATTTGATTTAAACATTTCAGAACCAAGAGGACCGACACAGACTCAAGGTAGACATAATCAGTAAAGTTCTGCCTGTCCCCAAAACATTTGTGTTTATCTGAATTTGGCTCCCTGACTGGCCTTGACAGGCCACCTTATCTTAATTCGCTTGGAAGCTCTGTAAACCTTGATGCTCTGCCACTCCCCCCCCCCCCCCCCCCCGCCTCCCCCCCGGACAGCCCCCGCCTCCCACCGAGGAAGTCTACGGACCAATCAGAGGGGCCCGACTGAATAAACATTCTGTCATCATTTCGGGACTCTTTGGATTCTATCTGACATCGACCTTGACAATCCCCGAGAGTGTACGGATCTCTCCAGAGGGGACTATGTGAATTTGAGCAATTTACCACTCTTGTTTTAAATCTTGCAGTGCCTCTGTGTGTTGTCTCTGGACATGCTCACCGCCCTTACATCCCCCACCCCCACGGCAAAATGTTGGCGTCATTATGTGCTTGCGAGTTGTTGGTTTTTTTCATGCTTTTAATCTTCAGCCGAAGATTAAGAGTATGTTAGGAATTTTTTGGCCTCCAAAACCTATGTTGTCACTTTCACTACTTATCGTCCGTCCAAACAGGTCTCATTTGTAAATGATTCTTCGAGGCTCAATGTGATTTATCTGTTTAAATAAAGGTTGAATGAAAAAAGACCCATTAGTAAAGGTTGTTAATGTAAGGAAGAAGCAGATTGTGCTGATTCTTCACTCCATCACATTTTCCCACCTTTGATCCCAGCACAGTTGTCTCATTAAACACCATCCAAACACAACAATAAAACTTTACCCCATCAGACAGCAGGATACTATAATATACCCAAACTAGGAGTCTAAATACTGCCTTATACCCTAACTGCGAGTATAAATACTGCCTCATACCCTAACTGGGTGCATGAATACCACTTATACACCATCGAAGAGCACTGTTACCACTGGAAATACTAACTGAAATTACAGTAAATTTTCTCCACATGAAATACTACTTTAAAGTACAGTGTCTCTGGAAGACAGATGTCGAGTGTGTCTCTGACGTTATGCTTTCTTTGCTCTAAAGGTTCTTATGTGTAAAAATGAGTTGTAATCTGTGACAGCGCTGCACGTTTGTCAGTTTAAAGTTGAAAAGCAATCGACAGTATTTCTGTGTTTTGAAACATTATTGATGCTTGAAAGAATACCTCAGCAGGAAGGGACGTCCAACTTCTTCTGCTTTTCAAGCTCTTCTCATCATCACCTCCGTTTTCCTGCACCTCCTCGTCCTGTTCTTTAGCGCAGCACATCCTCAGCCAACAGCTAAACTCCTTCATGCAACCAGAGCAGTCCTCCATGTTCTCTTTATTTCTTTCTTAACTTATTCCTCCGTGTCTCATATGACTCACATGGTTTAGAACGAGCAGAGTCCTATGACACCCCCCACCCCTCCTCCTCCCCTCTCTCCCCAGAACTGAGGGAAGAACAACAGCCTCCATTCAACGTTCAACACCCAGGAGTGTTTGCTGCCCTCTGGTTCCTCTTTGGTGTGGCTGTTCCATCTAGACCATCAGCTGGACTCTACAGTTCAACACAGAACTGTACATCAATGTCAATTTACTTTTATAGCACATAAAAACAACAAAAACTGACCAAAGTGCTTTACAATTAAGCCAAATTAAAAATAAAAAATCTTCTGCCACTCAGGAAACACAAGAAAGTTAACAGCAAAATACAAGAAACAACTACCGGTACAAGAAAAAAATCATCTCTAACTGGTTATCAGGCTCTGCATGGATCAAACACCAGAGAAAAAAGATTAGTCTTGAGCAAAGATTTAAAAGTCTAAACAGTCTCAGCAGTCTTTAAATGTTCAGGTAAACTGGAGCAGCAACCGCAAAAGCCCGATCGCCTCTGGACTTCAGTTTGGATCTGGGGACACCTAAGAGGAACTGGCTGGTAGACTGGAGTGCTCTTACTGGAATGTAAATGTTAAGAAGATCGCGTGAATATGATGGGGCCAGACCTTTTAAGACTTTAAAAACAAGCAATAAAATCTTAAAATGAATCCAGAAGTGGACAGGAAGCCAGTGGAGAGAAGCCAGGACAGGGGATGTGTGTTCATATTGTCTAGTTGCTGTTAAAAGACTAGCTGCGTTCTGGACAGTTTGCAAACGATGCAAAGATGATTCATCTAAACCAACATACCTGGTACAACATACCAAATGAGAGGTAATAAAAGTGTGAATCACCTTTTCAAGGTCTCTGAAAGGGAGACAAGACTTCATCTTGGCGATGAGTCTTAGTTGGAAGAAACTGGATGTATAAACCTTTTGTCTAATTTAAAAGCACTATCAAAAATAACTCCCAGACTCCTGACAGTAGAGCAGCTGTATGAAGTCAAGGGGTCAAGAGTGTCAAGGACATTACAGTTACCAAAGTTGATGTTTTATTTTCATTTAGATTCAGGAAATTTAGTTTTAACCAGACTTTAATGTTGTTTAGACAGTTCGAGACTGGATTCCGTAGTGACTCAGTTTGATTTAATTGTCAAATGCAACTGAGTATCATCAGCAGAGCAATGAAAGGGGATGTTATGCTTTCTAAAAATGGACCCCAAAGGCAACATGTAGCGATTAAAAAGCAGTGTACTTAAAATAGACCCTTGAAGGACCCCACAGATTAGAGGAGCCACAGATGAATAACATTCCCCTAAATGAACAGAAAAACTCCTGTCAATTAGGTAGGTAGGATCTAAACCAGAATCAACCTGTGCCTTTGATGCCAGCCACCTGCTCAACTCATGACAATAAGATGTTGTGGTCCACAGTATCAAAGGCAGCAGAAAGGTCTAAAAGCACTAAAACAGCAGCGCTTCCTGAATCATTGATTAAAAAAAGATAATTAAAAACTCTTCAAAGGGCTGTCTCTGTGCTGTGGCCTGATTTAAAACCTGACTGGAATATTTCACCAACGCTGCTGGCAGTTAAAAACCTCTAAAGTTGATTAAAAACCACTTTCACTAAAATTTTCAACAGAAAGGCAGTCTAGAAATGGGACTATAGTTTAGTATTAGTTTAGTATTAGAGTGACAGATAGCTTCAAGGTGGAGGTGGGAGTGCATCAAGGATCGTCTCTGAGCCCCTTCTTGTTTGCTTTGGTGATGGACCGACTAACAGATGAGGTCAGGCAGGAATCCCTGTGGACTATGATGTTTGCATATGACGTGATCTGTGGTGAGAACAGGGAACAGGTGGAAGAGAACTTGGAGAGGTATGCACTTGAAAGAAGAGGAATGAAAGTCAGCCGTAGTAAGACAATGAGAGATCCACAAAACTCTTCTGAGAGCTGATGGTTGACACAAAATTTATTTGTGGAACACTTTCAGTTCGCCTAGTTTCCCCAGCCCGATGTGTTCGTCTGACGTCCGTCTAGTTTATCCCTGAGCAAAGAAACATGTTTGCTCCGTTTCAATTTTTGTTAGAAGCAAAGTTGAAATTTCAAGTAACTATCGAAGATGAAACGTTGTTTTTCTCACTCACGTCTCCGGCTTAAAGTGTAAGCCTGCTGAAGGTTGTCGATGGCCTGCACACCTTCTTATCAGCTGTCGTCCTCACTGACCCCTGAAGCAGTCATAGTGACTTTCGGCATGGGCAGTTCCTGGTTAATCCTCGCCTCATGGTGTATCCTGGTCTGATCCACCAGCAAAACCCCAAAAAGATGAGTGAACCCAGCTCTCAACTGACCGAGTAAGGAGCTGAGACTTGTTGACATGAATGCAACTTTGGGTCTGGTTGTGCCATTTTAGCTGATGCAACCTGATCATTGGCTTGCAGTGATAATAAATGGCTTGATCTGGTCACATGAAATAACTTCTCTCAACCAAAATCCAAAGTAAACTACCGGTATTTGTTAAATAGTTAAACTTTGACTAAATTTGTTTGCGTATAAAAGCCTAAAAAATTCCTGCTCAAAGAGTTAATTTAGCTTTAGATAAAAGAGAATTTGTCCTTGACTGATTAATTGTTGCTTAGATTGTTCATTGTACTACTTTTTAAACAAGTTACTCTCCAAAATATTGTATTTTATAATTTGTTATTCAATTTCTTTATTATTGTTGATGATTCTTAATTTACTTATTGTTGTATTAAAACTTCAAAGACAAATGATCCTCCTTTGGATGAATATTCATTTGTTATTGTATAGAATTCCCTAACAGATTCTACTTCAGTGACTGAATTCTAATTATTAAAGGGTGAATATATGAATTAAGTTGTTGCTGATCAGTAAATTGACCTGCTGGTGCCCTGCTTTAAAGAGTACAATTATACAAATAATAAAAGTGTCGGAGCAAGTGTCACCCTTCTTTCTCCATCAATCATATATGCTACAGTGGTAATATGAATAATTATTATAATTACAACTTTTAATAAAACAACATTTATATCAAATGTTGGTTTAGCCAGCAGGTATCGATGTCGCAATATTTTTTGTTAAATTCCAAAAACTAAAACCTGAGGCTGTGCAGGAAGTAGAAAAACTGCTTCCGAAAGGACTTTCAGCATAAAGGTTTGTTGTGCGCTTTAATCGTTAAAAAACAAAAACAAAAAGAAAAACTGAGTGAAACGCATTATTAACTAAACTAATTTTCGTTTAAGTAAGTTCTGTTTTAAACTAATTTGAACAGGAAGACGAATGCCGCGTTGTTCTCAGCCGAATGAAGGAGCGGCGCTTTATTGAGGAACCTGGAGCGGAAACGGAACTTTTCTCCATTTGTAGCGTTTCCTCCGGACGGTCCGTGAGGAGCGCTTCCTTCTGCATTTATTGTCGTAGTTTTTTTTTTATGAACTTCACACGGACTGGCCGAGATGCAGGAAGACTGGCTTCTCTCAGGTCCACGGAACTGGTTCCGCTTACTAGATAAACACGTCAGGGTGAAGGTGGGACCCAAAGAGGAGCACCTGGGCTGGCTTCTCACCGTGGATCCTGTGTCCGCCAGGTAAACCCTCAGACCCCACACAGTCTGGTCCAGGTAAAACCCTCAGACTCCACAGTCTGGTCCAGGTAAAACCTTCCAGACTCCAGTCAGGTCCAGGTAAAACTCTCAGACTTCACAGTCTGGTCCAGGTAAAACCCTCCAGACTCCACAGTCAGGTCCAGGTAAAACCCTCCAGACCCCACAGTCAGGTCCAGGTAAAACCCTCCAGACTCCACAGTCAGGTCCAGGTAAAACCCTCCAGACTCCACAGTCTGGTCCAGGTAAAAC